TTTGTGCTAATTTCTGGTGTCATTGTAGTATTTTATAACATAATAAACAAGAATCGAAAAATTAGTCTTTTGTATATGAGTGAACCTACTATTATTATAGACCCTAATGAGGAATTGCAAATTGTTCTTCGTATAATCTACTATAATGTGCCTGGCTTTTATTCCAATCCTAAAAAAATACGAAAAATATGTATAAAAGAAGGATATATTCATTTTTGACTTAAAGATATCATAAACTGGTTAGAGAATCAGTATGATTACCAAATATATTGACACCTACCAAAGATTAAGGCCCAGGCTAGCTTTTCTAAATGCCGAATTCCTAATAAATTACATCAATGTGATCTACTCCCTCATGTCCATGATGATCAGAAAAGAGGAAAAATATATTTACACACTTTGGTGCTAATAGACATGGCAACTAGATATAAATGTGCAGTAGCATTAATATCAAAGACTAGTTTAGAGGTTTGGAACACGATTGAAAAAATATACAATGATCCCAAAAATCCTCTCAAGTGGCCTGCGTTGTTGATGGTTAATGGTGCCAGTAAGTTTAAAGGATCATTTGTGAAAGGAATGGAGTGATATAATGTTTCTATAAGAGTTATTAATCTTTATAGCTTTGAGAGCTTAGCATTAGTTAAAAAATTCAAACAAGATTTGGTGAGACTTATATACAAAATTCAATATGCCATAGAGGGAAAACTCAAAGAAGGTGAATGCTCGAAATTATAGAACAAGATACTTCAGAAAATTATCGACTATATGAATAATAATAAAACTCGATTAATAGGCATGTCACCATCATATGCAATATTATTGGGAGAAGTAATACCTAAAGTATCTACCAAACCTAAAAGACCTATTGAAAAGGATGAACCATGATTACAGAAGGAGCTCACAGTAAGATATCTATTAAAACCTGGTGAGCTAGAAGGAGGACATATGCATAAAAAAACTGACTCGTGGTAGTCATTGTGTATCTATAAAATCAAAAAAGTTATTGTTGGTAAAAATCCACTATAGCCAGTCTTATACTATCTTGAGGATGAGCCAATTGATTCAATTAAACATTTAATAGGTCGTAATCTCAAAAGACCTTTTAAGAGAGAGGAGCTCCAAGAAATCGAGAATCCTAAAAAGGTTGAGTACCCACCTAATGAGTTTATACAAAAATATCACCCCTCTGGATCGATACATTTCATTCGTGTTTCTAATAATGAATTTGACAGGGCGCAACGATATGCTGGAAGACTTAGTGGAAGTATCTTAGCTAAAACTGGACGAATAAATAATCAGAATGTATTCCTCTGAACTTGTGAAAATGGACTGCATCAGTTTGAGTACCCGTTTCCATTGATTGCAATGAAATTTGAGTGGTGTCCACTTTGTTTTCACAATAAGAATGAGCGATGCTGTAGATACATTTTTGAGGATTTATTAGATAAGAAGTTCCCACCATGTTCGGATAAATTTTTAGGTGGACTCAGACTTGATGGATATAACAAGGAATTGCGCCTGGCATGGGAGCATCAAGGAGTACAACACTATCATCAGAATGCAATGTTCCACAAGCGAGGTCAAATTGATTTGGATAAGCAAAAGGCACGCGACAAAAAAAAGCGGGAGATATGCAAGAAGCAAGGTATAGATCTGATTGAAATACCATTTGACTCAGATTTATATGCATTTATAAAAAGTGAATTGCAAGAGAGAGGTTATTTATTGCATAAAGAATAAATTCACAAATATAAGTATCTATGCCGTACATTAAATCACACCCTCTATATCTCCCTGAAATTTTAACTGAAATTTTCTCATATCTTGCTGAAGATAAAACATTATACCCGACCTTATTCGTCAACCAGTTGTGGCATTTATACTCTGCCCCAATATTATGGAAAAAGGCTGAATTTTCTGGTAACCTTAACAATACATGTATGTAGTGGAGAAAATTTAAACAAGTAATGTGTGGAAAATATGCAGAGCAAGGAGCGAAGTTCCATAAACCACATGCTCCATTTTTACTTCGACTTCATCTCTCTAGATGTAAGATCTCTAACAATGTGCTGTATAAGATTGCTGGATCTTGTTCTAATTTATACCATCTAAAGGTCAAATGGTGCTGTGGTTTATCATATAGAGTTATTAGTAAGATTGCACAAATTTGTCCTTTGGAAT